GCGCACTTGGCCGAGGAAATTCGAGCTCCGCATTTACATAATAACGGAACACTGCGATCAGAAGTAAATAACAGACTTCAACATGCGAGGTATGAGGATCATTTTGTTGAAGTGTCTGTCTACGAGAGACTAACTGTCACATCCCCCCTGATCAAAGGCATACACACCTTCAGTCACTACACATCTGCCAGGGCAGACTGGCAGTGCCCAAGGACCATGGCGCCTTACATTCAGCTTGTAGTTCAAAAAATAGAGACCACAGAGGGCTTGGCTTCAACAACACAATTTCACCTTCTCATGCTGAGTATTGAGTTGCTCGCACTACTTAGAGAAGCATTGAATATTCACGTGTTTGAGGGAAGAGCAACTACGTGGATGGAACGTGGAATTCAGGATTTGGATGGCATTGCGCGCAGTGCAAGAGGGAATTTGGGGTCTTGGAATCCTGAAACATCAGTTTCAAGGACCACTAATGTAATGACGATCTAATTTCATGATAGACTATAGTCCAGAGGCTTTGTAACACTGGTGCGCACAAAAACACAATATATTGCTGTCCGGAAAGGGGTTGAAGAAGTAACAACTGAGGTGATGATACATCTAGTATTATCGCGCGCAGTGCAACAAGGAAAAATCCAGGGTTTGAGGACCCTGACGGCCGCATATGGATGGCCTGAATGCCCCAGTGAGCTATGACTTCGGAGCTCTGAATGCAAAAAAAAATCTGAGGAAACGGGGGGAGAAGGAATCTCAAGGATTCTACCACAAACTGTGTAAATAAAGCAGCTGGAAGGGGTTTTAAAATAAACAGTATGCATAGAGTGTGTAATTCACACATTTCATTAGGTGCTTAAATCTACGCCAACTATGTAGTGACTCAGAGGTGACCATGTTCAAAATTTAAGCAAGATTTAAGGTCCGTATAAAATCCATAGCCATCTGCCTCTGTTCATTATGGATATCCTTTCCCCATGTATGTGTTGAATTTTTATTCATTCGTGTTTGCCTACTCACCTTGAGCTATGGGTTATAACGGGTCCCGCAGTGCATGGTGCACATCCGCCATAAATATATTCATCATCATCGAGGATACTGTCTCTATGTGTAGGGGAGCAACGGTCACGGTAACGGCCCGTCCGTTGCGTTGCTTTTGTCACGGTCACGGTGAGCTCGGTTGCTTGGAAAAATCGTGACATTGACGAAAGAAATCCGAAAAAAATTCCTGGCCTTGGGAATAGGTCGGGAAAGTCACGAAACCAGTATTTCTCCCCAGAAAGCACTAGATAAGTGCTAAAAATCCCTATTTGGTCTGTTTCTGAGGGAAAAATATTTATCTCGTTGCCTTCTGAGGCAACGGTCACGCTCACGGTGGCCTCCGCTGCCTGAAAAAGAGGCAACAGGCATGTCACGGTCCTTGGTTGGTTGCTCCCCTACATATCGATACAGTATGCGGAATGAACCCCATTCGACTCGGGGGGGATATGAAGGCTTTCGACCTCGTTTCTTTTTTCCATGATTTCATCTTCTTGCCCAGCAGGAAATTGGACTGACTGTGTGAATGGACGATTGAGTACCGCCTAGCATGCGGATGTGAACTCTGACTGAATTTCTTCGCTCGAGGCTGGACAAGCCTAGTTCTGGGCTTCAGATCTCATTGGAACTCGGTATCATCTCCTCTCTGACCTGTATCCATATCCCATCCATCTATACTTGTATATCCTCCAGAAAATTCAAATCTTATCGACCATTAAGAGGCTCAATCGTTTTGGAATTTGAATTACTTGAAAGGAGACATTCTGTTGTATTTATCAGGTCTCGTTTCACTCGTCCACAGCGCCGGTGTACCTGTGCAGCAGACGTCGCGAACACAGCGCCACAATGGGATGAGGATGCAGAGGCGGCGGCAACGTAGCCGAAGGTAAAAGTGCATCCCCTTCATGCGGTGAGGCGTCGTGGGAGATCGTGTGCTCGTTTCGTGCGGCGCGTGCAGCGTGTGCAGCGCAGCGGCTCCGCTTGCGGCAAGCGCATGGAGCGCCGTCCTCGCAATGCAGGAGCTTCGTCTTCATGTCTCCATCTCCATCCTTGTCTGTCCAGCGAGCCCTGACGCTCGTTGCGTCGCGGTACCGCGTCCGCTCCTTCCCTTCCCTCCTTTCTGCCTTAGACTACTTCCTCCCAGCCCTTCGTTTCCGCCTCCTACAGGTACTCTCCCTTCCTTTCCATCCGGCACCGACTCTGCTCATTTAGCCGGTAGAGAACAGCCCCGCTACGATCAGCGAGCTGCGGGGTCTGGACGTGGAGAACGAGAAAGGAGGGAGGTGAAGGGTAAAAGTGAAAGTGAAGGTGAAGGTGGATCCCTTCGTGTGGGGTAAGGCAGAGGCAGAGAGCGAACGAGGGGAGAGGTGTCGTGGACGCTTCGCCGGAAGGGTTCCGAGAGGGATCGTGCGTGCGGGGGTGGGTATATCGTCCATCTGCCAGAGCTCGAGTACGCAGATGCTGCGAGCGTGGCGCAGGAGGAGCGCAGATTGGTAGTACCAATCTGCGCTCCTCCCACTACCAATTTGGTAGCGGACGTTGCCAGCGTGAAAGAAGACGTCAAGACCGACATCGGCGTTAACCAGGGCATGGGCGGCGTGTTAGCAGCGGTAAGAAGCGGGTGGTATTCAAGGAGGACGTCGGCGTTGTTGACGGTCAACGTGGCGTGGTGAGCGCTATCGTTTATTTGAGCATGGTGTAGATCGCGAGGGTGGGCGCGGCCGCAGGTGTCCGTGTCTATGAGGACGTTGGCGTCCGACGTAGTGGGCGTTAAGGAGGGAGTTGTGGTTAAGCCGGATGTCGGCTGTGTGAGGGTGTGGCCAATCGTCGCTGTCTTCAGCCTGCACGGAGTATCACAGTGTCTATAAGCAGAGGAGGTGAGTCGTGCTCTCGAGAAAGAGGGGGGGAAGGCTAGAGAACGGTCAGAGAGTAGAGTTAGGGATGGTGAATAAAGAAAGGAATGAAGACCATTCAGCAGACAGAGCGAGCGTCCGGAATGATGGCGGTGGTGGATCCCGGCCCTAGAAGTCACGGATACGAGCGGTATCGCGGGGTGGACGTCACAAGGAGCGGCAACGAAAAATTAAAATTGCATGCAGGGAGGATTCACGAATCTTGTCTTCGGCCTGCATTTCCACCGTGCGGGACGTCGAGCACATTATAGACAGCGCGGACAAGGTATAAGGTAGAGCCGCTGTATTTCGGCGTGGCCCGCAACGAGGCGCTGAGGCTCCGATCCGAGTGTAGTGGAGACGCGCCGTTGAAGTTCCTTTCACCTCCGAATGAGGAGTGCAATGATACGACTGATCGGCGGCAGGAAACAAGCGCACTACGTGTGTTGAAAAGGAGCTGTGCGCACGGGATTGGACTTTTGCAGATTGGTGAGCAGGCCCAAAGCTAATTCCATCCTCCGTGTCAACTCCGTGTAAAAGAGGAAGATAGGGCACAGCCACACAAATTGCCATCGAGTTGATTCGGCTGAGCAAAGCCGATCAAAGCCGATCTCTTTCTCAACAGTGACGACCTCTGCATTAAACAGACTGTGAGCGGAGCGCCCTTCAGCGCTCGGTTTCTTTTGATTACTCAGGTTGACACGAAGCGCCGCGCTCCCGGGACCCGGGGTCGATTCAATCGCGTCCGTCTTCCATGTTTCTCCGACGATGTTTCTGATGCACCCGCCTTCGCACGGCTGATGTTCACCGTTGCGCCTCCGTCACGAATCACGGTGCCCATGCCCACGCCCCATGCTTCTTCGCCCCTTGCCACGTTTCGGAGTGCCGTAGCGACCAATCGTCTCTTCCTAGCTTACTTAGCAGAGCAGAAGGATGACGAACCGGCTCGGCGCGGCGGGCTGCCAAGCCCAACCTTTTTACGACAAGGGCCGTATGTACGCCTATGTACGCGTCTTGTCGGCACTTGTCGGCGTGTTTACGTATACACTGTACAAGCGGCGCACGCGCGGCGAACTCCCCCGGCGCAGGCGTGCTGCGCCAACGAATCGCGATCAACTGAATGATATCGACCAAAGACCCCCGCCTCGCGCGCAAACTCTATTTCCACGCGGGATATCGACGTGGGATGTGGGGTATACTGTACCCCACATCTATGCGCTCAGATCGATACGTCTTGGAGTACAGTATGGTCACCGAGAGCAAACCGAGACTCGGAGCGCCCTTTCGTAAACAGTAGCGCCCTGATCGGCATCTTCGCGCCCTGTGCGAATTTCAATGTCGAGCGACGGCGAGCGTATTACGTTTCTCTTCGAGTGTTGTCTTTGTAAGTTGCCGCCGGCATTCTAAAGTGCTGTAGCACGCAACTCAAAGACAAATGAGCATCGTTACAGATCCGCAGGATGATAAGACGCCATCGCGCCCATGGTGTAACGGTAATACACAATCTGTTCGTGGCAATAAGATGGGACTCCATGATTGGGTCCGGGGTTCGACTCCTGAGGGCGCATAGTACAATGCCAGCGTCGTTTTTTTACCTTGGTCCTCCATTTTTTCCCTTAAACTTTTTGACCCGCCACTGAGTATTAGTTCTCCCTTCAGGCTCACCCAGGCTTCTGCTCTTTCTTGCCAGACCAACATCGCAAGATGCGGAATGTAAGAGAACCTCAGACAGTATGAGATCTGCTTCTATCATTTTGAGGTTGCAACGTCGCGTCCTGGGTGTAACGGTAACACACATTCACAGCTCGGTTTCCACCAATTCGAATGGTCCGGGGTTCGACTCCTTGAGGACGCCTGTGGCAGTTTATACAAATTGTTTTATTTTTTGTTCCTTCCTTCCTTTCTTTCTTTCTATCGGGCTGCCACGACGGGCAGACTTGGTATGTAGGTTTTGATTATTCTGAGGCGAGTTTTGTTTTGACCTTAGTGAACCTTTTTGTCTACACTAATAAATCTTGATTGATACTGATCTTGATGCTCAGAAGCACAAGGTGTCTGTCTATCATTTTGGATGTTGCGTCCTTGGTGTAGCGGTAACACACAATCTACTTCTGGCGATCTCAGCGTTTCACTTGGATTGGATCCGGGGCTCGAGTCCCTGAGGGCACATTTCCAGACTTTAGGAAACTTTTTTTGTTCCTCGTTGTTTTTCTTTTACTGACCCGACAGAGACTGCCACTCACCACGAGCGAGGTGCGGTGTCGTTACTTTTGTCTTTATCTTCATCTTAAGTGCCACCGGCATTCTAAGAGTGAGGCAATGACAGATGACAGGTGAACAGAAGACAGGATGCCATAGCGTCCTTGGTGTAACAGTAATACACAAATCTATTTACGTGAACCGATGGCTGAATGAGATTGGGCCCGGGGTTCGACTCCCCGAGGGCGCATGAGAATAAGACAATGTCCTTTTCTTCCCGATTCCAGCACAATTCAATTCCAAGGAAGAGAATTTCTTTTTTTTCTTTTCTTTTTCCTTTTGCGGAGTTTTTTTTGCCTGCACCACCGTGTTCCAGTAAAAATGTGCAGTATCAAATGCAACTGTGACTTTTTCCTGCTTGCTTCCGAGCCCCAGGCTGAGGCTTGACACTGAAAGAGATGATTCAGAAGCAACCCAGCGGCTCCATTAATTGGCAGATGGGTGTAGCGCCCTTGGTGTAGTGGTAACACACAATCTGTTTGTCGCAATAAGATGGGACTTCATGATTGGGTCCGGGGTTCGAGTCCCAGAGGGTGCATACTAGTACAATGCCAGCGTCGATTTTTCACCTTGGTCCTCCATTTTTTCCCTTGGGTTTCCTTAAACTTTTGACTCGCCACTGAGTATTAGTTCTCCCTTCAGGCTCACTCAGGCTTCTTGCTTGCCCAGACCAATATCGCAAGATGCGGAATTAGAAGAGACACATATGCGCATGAGATCTCTATCCATCATTTCAGGATAATGACATTGTGTCCTTGGTGTAACGGTAACACACATTCACAACGACCGATTTCGAATGCTCCGGGGTTCGACTCCCCGAGGATGCCTCCTTTCAACTGTTGTATAGTTTTTTCTTCTTCCGTCTTCCTTTTCTTCTTCCTTTTTCTTTGTTCCTTGTTTCTTTCTATCAGCTCACCAACTTTTTCTATTAACCTCAACGAAGTTCTTTCGAGCAGACTTGGTATGTAGGCTTTGGTTATTCTCGCCAATTCTGAATGGTGAGTTTTTGTTTTGACCTTAGTGTACCTTTTAATCTACACCGACACCAATGCTGTTGTTGATCTGTACCGGTATTGATCTCCGTTGATTGAATGACTGATATTTACCCTTAAGTGGTGTGGACACACAATCTCCTTTTGTGTTTTTTTTTTTTTTTTGATATATTTTGAATTGCGTCCGGGATTCGACTCCCGAGGGCGCATCTGTTGGATTATCATCATTTTTCTTCCTTCTTTCGGGGACAGTTCGAATGCGGAATTTCAGGAGCAAACATCTGTTTCCATCAGTTCAGATCACTGATGTAGCGTCCTTGGTGTAACGGTAACACGCGATCTATAATACTGTTGGATTGGTCCGGGGTTCGACTCCCCGAGGGCGCCTGGTTTGGCAACAAGCAATTTTTTTTTCCATTTCTCTGCCCAGGCTCAGGCTCAATTCACGTCAATTCAATTCGGACCTTCACGGCGTTTCTCGGGACAATGCAAAATTTAGGCAGAGAAGGATAACCATCATTTCAAATGACTGATGTAGTGTCCTTGGTGTAACGGTAACACAACATTTGGTTGGTCCGGGGTTCGACTCCTCGAGGATGCCTGACAATTTCTTGATTCCCCACCCCCCGCCCTTCTCTTTTTTATTTCCTCAACCTTTCCACTATTATCCGTATCTATCATCCCGCCCCTTCTCTTCACATTAATTGATACTGATATCGATTGTTCACTGCATTGATATGATCTCCACCATTTTGGATGCTGATATCATGTCTTTGGTGTAGCGGTAACACTCATAGAGATACTAGTCATAGATAATTTGGATTGGGTCCGGGGTTCGAGTCCCCATGGGCGCATGCCATACCCGGACAATTGCTTTTGTGTTAAAAAATATTTCTTTCCCTTTGACCCAAATCAAACTCTCTTTTGCCAGGTTCATTCCCGCCAACGAAATAACTAATACATCTGCTAAAGGCAATCGTAAATAAAGGAACAGCACTTAATTTTGGACCAATGCGGATTTTACAACAGACATTTGTTTCCATCAGTTCGAGCCTCTGATGGTGTGTCCTTGGTGTAACGGTAACAAACAGTCTCTCAACGATTTGGATTGGTCCGGGGTTAGACTCCCCGAGGACGCCTGGATAATTTCTTTTATTTTTCTCCCCTTCTCTTTGAACCTTTCAATTATTATTCCTCGTTTCTGATGTCCCTGTTCTGACCTCCTCTCCCTACCGGGGAACCTTTTGATCTTCACTAATTTTGATTGATACTGAGATTGATGGTCAGAATCAACCTAGGGGGGGTCCATCCATTGGTTGGAGGGTGTACACCGTGTAACGTCCTTGGTGTAGCGGTAATACCCAATCCATGTCTGTTGAATGAATGCCCAAGGCTCCGGGGTTCGAGTCCAATGACAAATCAGGAAGTTTTGTTTTTCTGTGGAAAAAATATTTTTCCCTCTAAAATTTCGGGAATCTAAGAGGACAAGATCCATCATTTTGGGCCATTGATGTAGTGTCCTTGGTGTAACGGTAACACACAACCCATTGGATTGGTCTGGGGTTCGACTCCCCGAGGACGCCTTTTCCGCAAAGTCAACCTTTTTTTTCTTCTTTTTTTTTCATATTAGAGCTCGTCCCTGTTCTGACTCCCATGAACGGGCACAAACTCAACGGGCAGCACAGTTCACCCCCGTGGGTTTACTCACGGCCAGTGCGAGATCTGCGTCAAAACAGGCTGAGCCTAGGCCTGTGGCCTCGCAGAATGCATCTCCCGACGCCTCACCATCAATAGATGGGCTACATCGAAGCGAATTGATTTGGTATAATAACCGCGACTGGCTGAGAGCAAGGCTATATCCTCTGCCAAGGATATCAGGTGGGATGGATCCCATCCTGGCAGTGAACCAATAAAGATCGGAAGTCCTGCGAGGACGAACAAGTGCGCGCAGTATTAGGCTTTGGTTTTATTCTCCATGTCTATCTATACGCCTGAAGGCACTGAAAGTACGAGACGGTTATGGATGCTACTCACGTTGAAAGCGGCGAGTTTGCGATGATGAAGATCGTCTGCAGAAGTGTCCATCCTTTCGAGGACTGTGTCTCCATCCGCCGGGTTCTCCAAAGCCCACACGACTCGGATATTCAGATCATAGCGATGCTTTTGCTTCAGAGGTACGATAAATCTCAATTTAATACTGTTGGGGAAGCTATCGTATTCTTGGGGCAATTCTCGATGTCATCCGATTAACCGCCGACTGTACATAGTATGTTCTCCAACAGGGATTGAAATATATGCACAAACACAATATTGCACACCAGTGAGCTCCTCAGAGCACCTTCTGAAGTTCGGTGTACTCATACACAGATAAGTGACTGCATGGGTTTGAATGTGGTGATGCCGTGATGAATGGATCACCGCTCTATTCTGAACCAATTCACCCAGCGCACCCGCTACATTTGCCTGTTTGACTCAAACTCGAGCCCTACCTCTGGAGTTGGAAACTCTTTTAAATTCGTTATGCGACAGGAACCCCTCAACAAAGGCAGTTCAAAACGGAGCTTGTAAGGCTCGGTTGCGGGTGGTTCCGCATCGATATCTACTTTCGATGCTTCGACGCCGTCGAATTATGTACACACTGCCTGTTCGACCACCGGCTCGAGCCCATATGCGGCGGCACTCGGCACTTCTCTTATTTATTCATTTTGTTTCGGTGGTGTACGGCGGCGCTTTGGGGTAATCCGTAAGTGGGCATTATGCATCGCTGATTGGGCGAAGAACGAGTTGGAAAGAGCACAGGGGTTCAATACACAAGCACGTAGTCTTTGAAATTTCAGGAATGAAGCACATGAGTACAAGAAATTGGGGGTATTCGGACATCGAATGGGTCCAAACCTGTTGGCGCCAAAACAGAACAAATGAAGGAAACGCACAGTGCATGACAATTCTGCACCATGATCACCAAAGCAAATGCCCTGGACAAATCCAAAATCAATGTTGTTCCAGTAGTCCATCGCACGGCGTACCATGCTTCCAACACGGCCGGCATTTTCCGCGTCTCCAAAAATGACTTCGGCACCGGCTGTGCCGCTCGCCGGCCTTTGAACGCAAAGTCAGTAGAGAGGATCATCGGCAAGAGTCGGATGTGCCCACCAAAAGAGCTCGCCCAAGTCTGACGAAGCAAGTATTCACCGAGAAACAAATCTATCCGACATTCTTCAACCTTGCAACCCATAGTAATTTTCTGCGTCATTTGCAAGCTCATCCTCGACATTCCTATACAAACGCCGGATTAGTGGTCGAGTCACCGTAACGATTCGGACATGTCGGCCACCAATAAAGCTCGTCCAAATCAGCCGTGACGTCCTCCCAACTCCAAACGAATGACTCTCGAAGCTCATGAGCTTCTGAAACGCCGGTTGCGTCGCCATTATCACCAGCTCCGGCACGACGCGATGCATGAATATCAAGCACCTCGACTTGTCCGCCTCGCGCCCTCTGCCAAGGAAGGGCGTCGCGACGAGCGCGACGCCTGGCGCCCCGGGCATCCTACACGTCCCGCGCATCTGTTCAAGCTGGTCGACACAGGAATTTCGCGTGTCTTCGTCGAAGACGCCGAGGGCGCGGTGACGACGTTGGTAATGGAGAGCCGCTGCTTTTTCCGTGCGGCTTTAGGACCGCTTGCGACTGGCACCATTTTGATGAACACCAGTAGGACGGCGAGGTACGGGGAGGGGAGTGGTGCAGCGCGCCGATAGATCGCATGGCGTAGAAGATGAGATGCATCCGGATGTATTTGTGGTCCAATAGGGTTTTGCAGAGGTGCATGGCAAGGACGTCGTGATCGGGGTATCGGATACAGTCTTTTTGTGTTGCGGCCTACGTCGTGGTGTAACGTCAATACTGTAGGTCGGTTTGAGCATTGAACTGGGACGATTTGACGCACCAATGGTTTCGCTGACACACCTCGTTGCAGTATACGGCGGCGGAGCACTGAATGACCGTGTCAGAAAGGTCAATTCTAGTGGCAGACGATCATGTACGAACCCCACGGCAGGTCTTTATCTCCCGCATCCATTTGACGGTCTTGCACGATGCACACGTCCCAGCTCTGAGATTCTTCGGAGTACGCGAGCTGACATTCGGAATCACGACTGGGGCGCCAGGGGATGCATTTTGAGGGGCGAGGTGCGGCTACTGAGCCGTAAGCTGACGGGTTGTCCGCCATCAGGATGGCCATAGCGCTCAGGTGGCCACGGCCGCTCCCCAAGCTCTCATGCTCGCTCAAAATCGTCGTAAACTTGGCTGCCGCCGCTTTGTCCATTGGATCCGTCGTGAGCACGCTACTCAAGTCAACGAGAGCGTCCATATGTCTGTCTTGCTTCCAGCGCGAAATAGCACGCCGATATCGGGCCTTGGTGAAACGGGGATCTCGCAAAAGTGCGAGCGTCGCGCTAATCTCCGCCCTTTGTGGCCTAGATAAATCGAGGTAGGCCTTGGATTCGCGCGACGGTTTTATTAATGAAACACTGACTGCTGCAGTTTGAGCTCCACCAAGGCCAAGTTTGAGAGGTAGATGGGAGAGTTCAGAGTGTCGGAGTATACGAGGTTACGAGTATCAGTCTGTCTGGAGAGACTAGAGTGTCGGCTTTGTTTGCGGTCGTATAGCTTGGCCGTTTCCCGTCATTGAAGAGCTTCCTTGCCTGTCGTTATGATCATGAGCCCGAGGTTCTTGCGGCTGACTGCCACGAAGCTACCTCGTTATTAAGCCAAACCGCTTAAGAGTCGTCCATGAGTAAACAGAGCAAGCCTGTAGTTTCTGGTGAGCGTTTCGGTGAAAAAGCGATTGATGCTTGCCACTGTTTGTGGCTGTGTTTTGTTTTTCGCCTTCGACCACCGCGTCTTCCCATCGTCCATAAATGTACGCCAAGCCCTCAACGTCTGAACTTGGCATACTCGCCACTATGAACAGTCCTTGGTTTGGGGGCCAGGCCCTGGAGAGAAATTTAGCCCTCTTGTCCGGTTTCTCGGTCTTTGCCCACTGTCTTCAGTCCACTCTTGTAAAAAATAGCCCAAGCTCCTGAATCCTGCATTAGTAAGTTCCCTTCGCCAGCAAGCACAGAAGCGCAGGCTCCCCGGGTCGTTCCTCCGACTTAGACTGCACGGGGTCTCTGCCACGTTTTCGGCGCCGATTCAATCGACAAGGGCTCGTTTTCTCGTTGTTGAACCACCCAAGGAAAGGCACGCTATCTGCTGACTGAGCAGAACGCCTGCGTGCCGCATGAGCCGCCGAACCAGTTCACTTCTTGCGGGCTGGGTATGTAATACGACGCCCAGCCGTCGTCGTGGCCCAGTGGCAGCCGACGTGCAGATATCGACGACTTACGACAAGGCCCGACTTTTCGGCGCCTCACGCACGGCGAACTCCCCGCCAACGATCAATGGTCAACGGCCTTCGTGCGCAAACTACAATTCGAACCGCACTAACAACCCAAGTACCGCAACTGTCGGGATATCCCTCAATTGTCTGAGCTGCAGCGCGTACTTACCGTCACCGATGCGGTCGGCGCATTTACAAGTACCCATCTACGATCAGTGCAC